GCTAACTATAATACACAAGGTCTTAAATAAGACCACCCCAGACATAGGACAAGATTGCTGGTTGTGCCTAAACCCAAAACTCCCTTACTATGTCAGGGTAGGAACTCCCCTAAACTTAACTGAGCTCAGCAGGCTAGAACTTCAAGTCGATTCACTAGCAGAAGTAGTCCTCCAAAATAGAAGAGGTTTAGATTTATTATTCTTAGAACAAGATGGATTATGTATGGCTCTAAGTGAAACCTGTTGCTTTTATGCTAATAACTCTGGAGTAATTAGAGAGAGCTTACGACTAGCAGAGAGAAATTTAGATGTCAGGGAAAAACAAAGACTAGAATCAGATAACTGGTTTCATAGGATGTTCAATTAGTCGCCATGGCTAACAACCCTCCTATCTGCTGTAGCTGAACCTTTAATCCTCCTCCTCCTCTTGTTAACTTTTGGCCCATGTTTCCTCAATTTCTTGTTTAGATATATAAGGAAGAGAATTAATTCTATTAAACTTTTAGTAATACGAAATAGAGGCTATGAGCAAATTCCACATGAAAAATCAAGGATTTGATTTTCTGTTAAGGCCAGTGGGGAATATGCTGGCTGGAAAATTACTGCTTGGCTATCGCCCATGGGAACATAGGTTATCGCCCATGGTAACATAGGCTATCACCCATGGGAACATAACATTCTAACAATATGCTTTCTGCTTCTGTACCCCCGCTTGCACAACTGACCTGTGGGTTGACAAGTACTGAATAGGAGAAAAATAGACCTTTGTGTTTAAGACAGAATGAGGAATGGGATTTAGGCCTTAAAAATCCTGTACCTCTACATTTCAGGGCTGCTTAATTTGGGGTCTGCGTACCCCTGGCAGATCCAGCTGGCTGAATAAAGAGCACGTTTTCTATAACTCACTGATTTCTGGTGGTCCGTGTGTCTTTCGGGGGCTGGCGGCTACAACTCAACCAGAACCGTAATCCAGCATCTATTTAAGGTCTGATCTCATGGTATGATTATTTACTATCTCTGCCAACAATTACTGGAATCTAGACCAGGCTTTATGTAAATCTCTTGGTTCACACCAAGATGTGAATTCTTTTCAGAGATAGCAAAATAAAAAAAAGATGCTTAGAATAGGATTACGGACACTTGCTTAAATAGAACAAAGGAAGAAAAAACAAAAGACATGGAAGTATCTTAAATATATTGATCTGCTCAGAGCAAATGCATGAGTCATTTAAATAAAAGTGCTTTAAAAGTCATCAGGTGGGACAATTTACATTTTAAGATTCAGCTTCCTTGGACTGTTATTTTACTTCTAGTAACAAATAAATCCTTTTTCTGGCTGTGTGAGAGATGGCCAGTTGCATTTTTTTGTAGCTTAGGGCTCAGATACCATATATTTATGTAAACTAGAATGGAAAAAAAAATCATATTTTTTTCATTCACAGAATCAAATCTTAGCAATTCTCAGTAACTGAGAAAAGTCTATTTGATCTAGTGAAAAATTTGACGTATATGAAGGAGTATATTTTGAACTTATGAAGAAGTATATAGTCTAATAAAATCTTTCAAAATAAAGTCATTTATTTAAAAAGCTACTAATTAAGTTATATACAAAGCACAGCCTTAATTAACCATGTATATACATACAAACATATATGTCACTAATAATAACAAAATTCTAATAATCATGTCAATTAATGCTATGTAAATATGACAATCTTCTCTTTGTAGTACTTGAGCTATTTATATTATCTTATTTTGAATATTATATCACTATTTAGAAGCTTATTCCATAGGATTTATCATTCGATATTTACCTGGGGTCCATACTTGTCATGTATAATGAAAACTTTTGTGACTTGTGACATTTTTTAACCCTTTAATGAATGCAGGAATGACCCTGTATTAATTCAACTCAGACCCGGTGTTACATTCTGAAGTCCTTTAATATTGATACTTGATCTGATCAGAGATTAAAACTGCATTTACATAGATGTGCCTGGGGTTTAAAAAAAAGTTGTTAGCATCACGGATGGAAAATACCAGTAGGTCTTTGGGCTATTTCAGAGATCTACTGGTATTAAAGTCAAATTAAACATTCATCTCTGACTTCAAGAAGAAATGAACAGACAGCTGAACTATATATAATGGCTATTTGCCTTGTTGAAGATTCTTATCCTCATTTTCTAGGTGTCTGCATTTAACTGGTGGTTGTTGTCCTTATTAGTATATCAAAATGATGTTTACTAGACCTAGAAATGATGTTTACTAGACCTATATATATATACGCATTAAAAAGTATCTGTGTTTCTGTTTGGAGATTAAGTTTGTCTCTGATGGCTTTAAATAACGTGGTCAAGGATGTGTCAATGTGGTCTATATCAGAGATTGACAATCTCTTTCTATAAAGGGCCAGTTAGTAAATATTTAGGCTTTGCAGGACATATGGTCTTTATCAGTACTACCCAACTCTTTCATGATCACACAGAAGCAGCCATAGACAATGCATAAATAAATGGGCATGGCTTTGTGTCAATTAAACTTATCTATGGATATTGAAATTTGAACATCATATAATTTCATGTGTCATGAAATATTGTTCTTTTAACATTTTTTTCAACTAGTTAAAAATGTAAAAACCATTCTCAGCTCAAGAGCTATACAAAAACAGGTGGTACGCCTGATTTGGCCTGGGGTGGAGTCATAGTTTGCCAACCCCAAGTACAGAGGAAAGCCATTGGATTTGCAGATTACCGGGTAAGGTTCTAGGCAAAACTCAGGGACCCACTAGGTGGGCCATCTCAGCTGCTGACTTCTTTACCCTGAGTCCCTATTTACTCCTAAGCATATTGAAGGCATTGGATGAGATTAGGTTTTTAACTCATTTCCCATTTAGAAATGCTCTTTGAGGCTGAAGCAAATCTGACTGGTTTTCAATGTGAAAATAAAATACAAAAACTGTTCCTGGAGTTATTTCTAAACAGAACTTGTCTCTAATCCTAATGTAATAGAAATGTATACATAAATCGGATTCATTGGATACATCTTTTGCTAATGACGGTTCAAAAACAATGTTAATTGACTTGGGGTAAATGCTGTGGCTGCAAGTACCGCCAGCGAGTATTCTTGGGGCAAATGGGAAATGGGTTAAAGCTCTTTTCTGCTTCAAAATCTCTCTGATCGATCCTGCCAGAATAATAGTGAGAAAAAATAAGCTCAACCACACACAGGTTCTTCCTTGGAATTTCTGGAAAGAGAATTGTGGGAACTCGTTGGAACGATGTATAGCGTGCCTTTTATTAGCTATCAGAACTCAGGCTTTGAGATTTCCAATTTGAGACCACGTGATTTCTGAGAATGGGGGCCATGCCCTGATGATGAGACTGTTTTTGATGTAGACACTCAAGCCCTCTCGTCAGCATATTCAACAGGAACAGATGAGGGGTGGCTGTCCATGTGATTGCCTCTATGGCAAGTCCCTACCGGCAAACTGTGTATGGAGTTTGTTACAAGTGTGTAGTTATGGGACAAAACTAAGCTAAAATTTCTTTCACATGTAAATGATCTTTCAGCTCTAACGACTTGGGAAGCAGAAAAACAATTTCAAGTCTGTAACTTCATTTCATTTTACTAACTAGAATCTAAAAAAAGAAACACACACACACACACACACACACACAGCCAACCAATCAGCAGACATTGAAAGAAGGCCTAAAAGTTCTGGGCCAATCTTCTTTATTTACCTGGAGGTGAGGAAATGATGACAGGATATTAGGAATTTTCTCCTCTAGAGCCAAAATGGTTTGGAGTAGAATTATATCTGCAAGGCTCAGCTGATTACCAACAAGAAACCTTTGTCCATGTTCCCTTAGAACCTGTAGGATATATAATTTGCATCAGTTACAATACTCTACATAGAGAAACTGATGAAGCTACTGAATCAGCACAGTATTTGAGAAGGGGTGAAACTATAGCCTTGCCCTTTCATCTTTTTATAAATAACATTAATTAAGAGGACACTAAGATAGATAGAGAAAGGAGACAAAGTGTAAAATTGAAAGCATCATTAAATATCTACTCTATATCAGAATGAAACAGTGAAAAGGGGAACAAAATATTAATTCTAGATTTATCATCCAGTATGTTAAAAGAATACTCTTATTCTATAAATACGTCTACATAAGTGAATTAGCCCTGATGAATTCAGGAGGCTGGGCAGGAGGAAGTGATTTAAAAAGTAAGTGATAGGTCCTCGTCAAGGAGTCCAATCTCGTTTGCCAGTTCTGTGTCTGTGAACATCAGGACTCACTGTCATAAATTAGATGTGACTATAAAAAAAAGGCAAGCTTCCTTTCACATCTTCTAAGACAGAGAAAATTAAAGCATGAGAGTTCATCTTGACTCCCATTGTGAGTAACATACAGGTGCAGAGAGTCACAGGAATAGATGATGATCAGGAAGAGCAAGAAACAGTGATAGAATGGAGATCCCCTTTGCAGTGAACTCTTGGACGCCTACGAGTATGAGGAAGTGCGCCCACACGTGCATGTGGTGTGTATGCCTGACAGGGACTCTGCCTATGATTCCAAAGCAAATATAGCCACTGCAGCCAGAGTGGGAGAGTACAGTGTATCCAGAATCTGAAGTCAGAGGGACAACGTCCATTCTCAGCTCCCCAGCTTGGGCACGTCACTCAATGTCTTTGTGATTCTGTTTCATTATGTATAAAAGAAGAGTAATCATTTTTAGCTCATGTATTAGGAGGAGTCCTGACATAGTCTCGGCCAAAGGGACATAATAACCAGCAGTGACCTTTCACCAAGGCACTTATTCCTCCTTTGTCATACCATATGTCTGCATTATATATTACATTCACAAAGTGCCTTGTGAGCAAGAGACCAAGGAACCAGGTGACAGAAAAACCCAGGAAATACCTCTTCTTAAATCTAATTCCATGAAGATGGCCAGAGGAAGTTTGTCAATTCCATATTTTTAGATTCTCTTGTTTTTTAATTAAAATATTTAAAACAATGCCTCTCGGTTGAGGAAAAGGAGTTTGAAGCCCAGAAAAACAGATAAGAGTAATAAGATGAGGAAAAAACGAAACAGAAAACAAGTGTGAAGGGAAGAGAAATAAACAGCAATGGTTCTCCTCTTCATATCAAACTATTAAGCGAGCTGTCTGATACATAACGCTGTTCAGCAAATGTTTGTGGAATGAACGAATAAATTAGGTAGTTTCTGCTTTTCTGTCGCTTACGTAGGATGGGTACCTGGTGAATGTAAGAAATAATAATGCACACATGTGGTAAGCCCATATTTTTTCCAGACTTTTGAATAATGTGGTCCTAGTAGTATCTGAGGAGCTGCAAGACATCCTGGTTTTGTGCTGGCTACTGTCAACTCCTAGAAGTCTAGCAAGGTCAGTTCAACAGGCCTCAGCATTACACTGCCCTGGCGGGAAGAGGCATTGGTGGCGGCTCCCTTGTGGTCTGCTTATGTTGTGTTCATAGGCTTCTCTGCCACCTACCTTTTCAAACACAGGAAAGTATCTAATTATAGCCTTCTGAGCCATGTTAACCACTTCCTTCTGTTGATCGTCTGGTTTTAGGAAAGGATGCATGATAATCAGTTCCAGCAGATCCAGCGTCCCCTCCACATACATGTCAATCCTCAAAACAAAAAAGTATTTTTCTCAATTTCCCCTTTTTGGAACGCATCAGCTTCCACAACTAAGAACTTTCTCTTGAGGCTCTGGCAACTTAAGTACCAAGAAGCATTTATCTACACCTGTCTCTTAAGAGGAAAGATGCAAAGACAACTCTGGTTGTCATTCAGAAAATTCCTTCAGAAACATCTGTCACAAACCAGAAAGCACGATAGTTATGACAGCTCTCTCTCCCCAGCCCCTACCCCTCCACTCTCACTCCAGTACCCACACTCAGTGTAGGCGGAACTTCGCATTTATAAAAATAGTGGATTACACTTATGGAATGCTTGGTATGTATCAGGCGTGGTGCTAAACACTCTATATCTATTATTTCATTGAATCCTATGACATTATGAGGAATGTGCTATCGTTATCTCCATAGTACAGGAGATTCATCAGGACTCCAGAACTTGACACTTTGCTTAGGGTCATGCATCTGGGAGGTACAAGGACCAGGCTTTGAGTGCGAATTATAATCCAAGGCATAGTATCCCAGGCCTTGAATGTCAGAATGGCTTCCTATTCCTAATAGTCAATGGTAATAAATTTGCAAGAAAAGTAAAAAGTAATATCAAAGCATTTAAAGATGTTGAAACCTGAAACAATCACACTACAGATACAGGATCTAATATCTGAATTCAATTATTTTCTATCATTTTACTCAGACTCTCTGTACTGATTTTCTAACTGGCCGTCGTGACCTTTCTGGGTTTTTGTTTCCTGTACACACGAATGACACAAGACATAAAGTAGACAGGGTGCGCTGTAGAGGACTGCAAATCGCTAAGGCATCAATAAGCTGACAAGTGAAAACACTCAAGAGGGGCCACAGTACAGGGTTCTCTCCTTGAGGTCCTTGCCAAAGAGATGGTGCCTGTCCGCTATGTAGTGGAGAATGCTTCGGGTCTGCACCAACTTCATCCCGTCAATTTCAACCATTGGCACTTGTTGGAACAGCAGGTGGTTACCTGAGAGTGGAAGCCCAGAGTTAGAAGTGATCTATGCCCTGTCTCCCAACCCCTAAAAAATGCTCTAGGGAATGAAAAGGGATGGTGTGGCCATAGCCTTAAGGAAATAGTGTAAAACTCCCTGATGACAGATAACCTCAAATTCACTCACGGCAGCAGAGTTAGCCATAAAAGAAGCCTGAAAACTAGCATTGTTCTAAACTTTTCGTTTTCATCCAGGGAAATTACCTACCCACAGCGATATGGGGTAGAGACAAATTTAGTGAAGATATTCCTCAAGAGCTGCACTAGATGCATGTATCTAGTTAAGGCTAAATTTGAATTAATGAAAATTGAGAAAATTTAAAATTCAATTCCTTAGTTACACTAGACACAGTTCAAGTCCTCAGTAGGCACAGATGGCTAGTGGCTACTACACTGGACAGTGCAGAATACAACATTTCCAACACTGTACGATGATCTACTGATAGCACTGCCTTAGACAATCTGATAATGAAGCCTAAGTCACCAAGTGATGCTCATGCATACTCATTGTTTTTTCTCTTGCACAGCCATAGGCCAGTTACTACCAAGTTTGCCCCCACTGGTGAAAAACTAACCCATTACTTTCTTTAACGCTTTGTATCAGACAGTTCCCACATAGCAAACTCTGAGGACAGATGCAAGTATAGGGTACAGCCTAGCCCTTGAAGGGCTCAAGGATTGGGGCACGTGAGGGTTCAGGGAAGACGAGGACTCAGCACGTGACTAGTCATGTCAGGCCAGTGTCACCCGTGACAGGTGGCATTACAGCCCTTCAGAGTTGGTCTCTCTTAAGGAAGTCTTGAGTTGGGCCTGAGGCTCCTGCTGATGGTTGGGAGGGAGGCTGCTTACAGGGTTGCTAGGTATTTCTCAAGGGCCCTGGGTATGCAGAGTGTAGGAATTAAAAGGCGGGGGGGGGGGGGCTTTTATTGATTTCATATGTTTGGTGTTTATTTCAGAAATTGGGGATGTTTATTTGCAGACTTTAAGCCCTCAGATAATTTGGAGGAGGCAAAAAAGGCGTGACAAGGAAGATGAGGAGGGAAGGGATGGAGGAGAGGAAGGGAGGGAAAGATGAGGAGGGAAGGGATGGAGGAGGGCAGGGGGAGGAGAAAGAGATGGAGGAGGGTTGTTTACATGGATAGAAGAAGGAACCGCTCCCTTCCTTTAGCTAGCTCTTACAGAACTACTGAATAAGAAGCAATTTCCTGGCGATTTCAGCTATTATTCATTTGTCTGGTTTTAGGATACTGTTCTGAATGTTTAGTGTCAGCAGCATCTTTGCCCTTCCACCAAGGATCAATTGTTTAAAAAAATATATATCAGCATTACCGGCAGTTGTCTCATTTCAATACTCACCATCCTGCAACTTCTGCAACTGTTCTTTTGTTTCTAAAAATTCTTCATCAAACTAAATTTTTAAAAAGATAACCCCCCCCCAAGAAAAGGTACATGTCATTATGGGATCAGGACTGCAAATACCAAGTTAAATTGCCTCAAAATCTGAGAGAAAGAGGTCACTTAGCACTCACATCTTGGCTTCTAAAGAACACTGCCCTCTAAGAGAAACAGGGGCTCCAAAGAAAAAAGGCTGATTCTGTTACATTAGGAAGCAAGGAAGTGCTCAAAGACTAATGAGATATGTCAAAGGCAGACGCACTTAGGACCTTACCTGAAGGTAATTCCCTAGACAAATTTGGGACAATTCAAGCATCAGAAAGAGTAATGTCAGTTATGGATTTTAACACACACCAACAGAAAAAAATCCCTGTCTCCAGAAATGAATAATAAAAAAGAGAAAAAGAAAAGCTCTTTTCATAGCAGAATTAGCACTAATTAATATAGAATTATTGCTAATTAATGAAAAAATTTTAAAAATCACCAATCTGCAACCTACTTTCAAAGGATTGAGGGGGAAAAAGCAGAAAGACAGGAAGGGAGAAAGCAAATGTAGCAAACTGTTGACAACTGAATTTAGTTGAAAAGTATCCATTGTACTATTACAATTTTTCTGTAGGTTTGAAAGTTTTCAAATTAAAAAGTTGGAGAAGAAAAGAAACAGAACAAATTTCTTTTCTTCTGACATTATAAAATGTTCTAGTGCAACTTTATGTCAGGAAGAGGAAGTCTCGTCCCCCCAAGTCTGGGGATGGTTCTCTGCTGTTGTCTGTCCCTGTGCTACTCCCCCAAATCATTTAAGAAAGAGGTAGAGCTGACCAGCACAGAACCGGCAGTCCTCCCAGGCCTCCTCTCCTGACCCGGGGGAAGAACTGGGATGTGGAGTATAGGCATAGCTTCTGCTACTTGCCAGGGTCTTCGTGGTGTGAGGAGAGGAGCTGCATGCCCCTAGAAACACACTATCTGGTGCCTCAGGCTTAACAATGTTCCAGGCATTTGTCCAAATGCCCAGCTGGTCAGATGTGGTGTGTGGGTGGTGCTTCCTCCACAGGACTGCTTTCAAACATTTATGGCCATGACCATTTAAAGCACATGGAAAAGTGAGAGAGTGGTGTCCAACCCCAGGCCCACCCTTTAGAGATTCACATTCAGTAGTTGTGAGAGACCCGAATTATGCATTTTCAAACACAAGTCCTTCCCAATGGTTCTGATTTTTGACTTTTAGGACATTATGCAAAATGGGTGCTCTCACTAGAGAAACTATGTGTCAAGCTTTGTAAAAACTATTGGTCAGGAAGAAGAAACCGGCACCAGAAGGGGAGATGAGAGAGTGGACAGAAAGAGAAGGACAAATATCACCAGGCAGAGCTTAGAGGGAGCTTGGCAGCTCTAGTCCAAGTACAGCCCAAGGCTGGATGGGTAGAGACAGCATCTGGGGTTCTAGCTGCACAATCAGTTGTCTTTGTTCCCTAACTTGGGAGAACTGCCGTCTTTCACACCACACCACTCCTTCTTTCAACACTGTTTCAGTTAAATTACCCACAAGTCCTGGATTCAGAGCTTGCGGCTGTTAAGTCTTCTCTTAATCATGTGTTGATTTCCCTTGGAACAAGGGGCATCCGACTGGATTTCTTGGTGGGGGGTCTTCAGGTAAATGGAGCCCCAGGCAGTGGAGAAGCAACATCTAGCACATACCAATGTCTAAGGCCTCAAACCAAGTGACTGAGATGGAGGACGCTGACTCTCTGAATTAGGACTAGCTGCCTTTCAGCAGGTTTGGTTACCTAGTTACTCAGATGTGTGTCTTTCGCATTGTAGGCTCAACCTGATACTGTGACACGGGAATCACAAACTCATTCAGTGGCTGCCAGACTGTCCTCCTGATTGTTTCAAATTTATATGAGCCAAAACTTAGCTAAAATTGTCTTTTGGCAAAGAAATGGAGAGGGCCACCCTCCATACTGCTTTTTGGGAATCGTTCTTGTAAACCACATCGTCAGCCCTAGTAAGGGAGGCCAATCAATCTCCCTCCACCGTGGCCAGAGGGGTGTGCCCAAGACCCAATCTGGGCTAATTATTCTACCCCACCTGCCTGCCCACTGCGACTGGTCTATGATAGGTGGGTCACATGACCCATGCTCTTTTTGTTGTTGTTGTTGAACTTATCTAGGGTTGGGTTTCAATTATTGTAACCAAGAATCTTGACTCGTAGGAGAGTAAGGGGAATAGGATAGAACAAAGATAGGGAAGAGAGAGAATGTAATGAAGGATTATAATACATACGCATAAGACACTCATTGCAAAACCTGCTTAAAAAACCCAAAATTATAATTCAGAAGCATACAGAGTTAGACAGATGACATAAATAAGCAGACCAGGTTCAGGTCATGGAACCAAGAATTTTTTAACTCTCTTCTTAACACAATTAGAACATGCGTCCTAAGACAAAAGGAAATGAGGGTCTGTGTTGAGCAAGAAAGGTCTACCTATAGTGGCAGTCCTTAATCAGATTCAGCAATTGCTGTCACGTGGAAATGAGGGCTCAGTATCATCAGATCTTCCCATTTCCCAAGAGAATTCAGAAATCAGGATTTGTATATAAAAATGATTATCAATTAATTTAGAAAAATTTAAAACACTGTGTGGAATTATAATTCTGTGTAAAGAAACCCAAGCCCAAACCCAAAGCAACCAAACAAAACCCAAATGCCAAACCCAACAGACTTCATGTGTTACCTTTGGAGGTTGGTAGGGTAACAACTCATTATTCTGAAAATTCATAAAGAGACCAAATCAAGCATTTATCTTGCCTTTCCTATATGAGCTATGTTTCAAGGTAATTAGTTAATGAATGAAAAATTATTCGTTATAAGAGAATCACAGTTAATAAATTCATGTGAAATGATGGAAATAGAAAAATCACCATTTTGTAATCCCTGGCAATGATCAATAGCTGCTAAAACCACTAGTTGAAAGGGTAATGGGGGAAATTTTACAATGTGTGGGTCAGGCTGACGTTACTGGAACACACCGATGAAGCTATGTGTCTCTGAAGACAAGACAGTCAGACATCATGCACCCCTAATGGCGTACAACAGAAATATGCCCACAGTATCCATCTGTCAAAGTCTGGCAGGAAAAAAAAATTTAAAGATAGAAAGAAAAAAGGAGCCTGGATTTGATCACATCTCTGGATCCAACTAGCCGTTTGCAGAAAATATAGAGAATAGAGGAACATGTTAAAATGAGGGTAAATCAGCCAAATACAGAATGGGGAAAATTCTACAGGGCAGTTTCACCCACAAATAAACGGCACTAAAACAAACGCAGACACTTTGCACCCAGATCTTGGCTGTTAATACCATTTTCTAATAAAAGGGACCAGGGCTCCTTGGAGAAATACCTGATTCTAGGGCCAGGGCAAGGAAAATAGCCTGGAGCATCTTGTTATGTCAGAAAATAAGAAATTGATGGGAATGGGGGAAAGAAGGCTATGTGGAAAGGACACGAGAGCTAACCTGAGAGAGTACCAATGGCCAAAGCTGAAATATTTTGAGCAAAAAAGTAAAGAAATATTGGATTATGACCCACAATAGAAATAAATGTACTTAAGTCCATACTGATATAAATGAATGACTGAATACATAAATAAATTGGGGAGGGGGGAGAAATCTCCCTTACATAAGAATTCTAAATGCAGATACTCCCCTCTCCAGGAGGTGGAGCTTAATTCCTATCCTTTTGAGCGTGAGCTAAACTTAATGACTCGCTTCCAAAGAATAGAGTGAAAAATAGTTTCTTTACAAAAAGAAATCTGGCAGATGCCACCTTAAACAAGTGACCAAGGATAACAGCACCAGTGATAACTCACGTTAATATGACAGAAGCCCTAATATGATGCAATGAGAAGGGCACTTCGCCTCTGTGCTATTTTTCCCCCAAACCCCAGTTTAACCATGAGAAAAACATAAGACAAACAAACCCAAGCTGGAAAAGTCTAACCAATGCTTTTTAATAAAAACGGTCAAGGTTGTGAAATAAAGGAAAGACTCAGAAAATGTCACAGATTGAGGGTGACTAAAACATATGACCTAAGATAATGTTGGATCCTGGAACAGTCATCCACTACATTCCATCTATAAAGAAAAACCCTTTGAAGGGAAGGAATCCTCTGACTCTGAAGCATGTCTGTAATATTAGTGAGACAGAACTATATCAGGGCTCTGCCATTTATGTTTTTCTCAGTCTCAAAGCCATATGAAAAATCCGTGAAGAAATAGCACATGGGGGTACCTCCACTCCAGCGGCAGCTAAAACCCATCTTACGGTTTCCATCCGACCTCTTCCATTTGGATAGTGGAGCTTGGGCTTCTCTGCCATGATGGCCTTTCCGGCTTTCTGAAAAATTTACAAATGCAGCAACTCTTCTTAATTTCGTGCCCTCAACCCACTGCTAAACGAATATTCATGATTTGGGCACAGGAAACTATTGTTTTTACTGTTTCTCCTCATTCCATAAAAGCATACCACCATTTTAACACATTAAAAAAGAAGAAAAAAACACGTTGGCTTTCATATCATCTCTATTTATGATGTCTTATTCCGGATCTTGGGAAGCTGGGGCCATTTGTTGTAAAGACATTTATGCTAGCAGTACAGTACCTCACTGATTCAGATCATCATACACTTTGACCTTGAAAATCTTAGATTTCCCAAATTCGGCCTGGAGAAGCGAAATGCGGAGGGTCGCGGAGAATTATACGTCCACCCGAACCTTTGCAAGTAGTCACACTTTCACACGCATCATATTTGATTATCACAGAAACTGGAAGGTGAGCAGGCCGAGTATTCCTATTGTCTACAAAATGTACATCCTTTGTCGCGGCTGCAGTAGCGGCCCCTGGGTCCCTCACGTCCCTGGCACCCGCAAAGAGATGAGCCCGGGTTCTTGCGAATGCGCCCAGGCCACAGACTAGGCCACCCCAGACTAGACTCCGGGACTCCGCATGCCCGCTCAATCCACGCTGGGTCAGAGCGGCCGCCCGGCCCAGGGAGGATCCAAGCCTGCCGTCCATCAAGAGACTCAGGGTCCAAAGAGTGGTTTAAAAAAAATACGCACTCTGGCCCAAGAATGCTTCCCAGTCGCAGCAAAGGGGCCCCAGTCAGCCCAGACGCGGGCGGGAGCGCACAAGACATGAGGGAGGGAGAGAAAAGAAGGATTGTAGGGGATAGGGGTAAGGGATGGATGGTGGAGTAAGAGGCCCGAATCGGAAGAATAGTGGGAAAGAGAAACAAGAAGGGAAAAGGCGAGTGGGCGCGGCAGGAGGGACACAGACCTGCAACCAGCTAGAAGAATCCGGAGCCACACAAAGCACACAGCGAGAAGCCAGCTGAGAAGAAAGATCAGCTGGCGGAGAGGAGGCGCTACCGGTGGGCGAGGCTCCGGGAAGATTTCACCAATAGAAACAACACTATTTAGCATGACCCACCCATTTGCAAGGCATTCTGGATAATATGAAAACAGCCCAAATTCAAGCCAATTTTAACATTAATTTTAGCATTATGAGGGAGAAAATGACCTTTAAATTATCATTTAGATTTAGACTTTAGTTAAAATTTTCTGTTAGCGATCCAGCATGGGTTTTTTTAAAAAAAGAAAACTCGACCTATGCGTAAAGACAAAATTCTGTTTAGGTTTATATAGCCTGTGCCAATATTAGGGTGCTCGGATGTGAGGGCGATCTGGCTGCGACATCTGTCACCCCATTGATCGCCAGGGTTGATTCGGCTGATCTGGCTGGCTAGGCGGGTGTCCCCTTCCTCCCTCACCGCTCCATGTGCGTCCCTCCCGAAGCTGCGCGCTCGGTCGAAGAGGACGACCTTCCCCGATAGAGGAGAGGACCGTTCTTCGGTCAAGGGTATACGAGTAGCTGCGCTCCCCTGCTAGAACCTCCAAACAAGCTCTCAAGGTCCATTTGTAGGAGAACGTAGGGTAGTCAAGCTTCCAAGACTCCAGACACATCCAAATGAGGCGCTGCATGTGGCAGTCTGCCTTTCTTTTAACAATGCAATAAAAAAATCTTAAGCACCACATACTACTGGAAGTGTAGAAGTATGAGAAGTATAATAGTGTAATGTTTTAATATAAAAGGATAGCCTATTTTTCAGAGGTGTTAGTAAGCAAAGTACCATATATAGCTATATGTGCCACTAATGTATATATTATTAAAGAGCAGGACTTAGTTTTTCTCATTTTGTACATACACATTTAGTTTTTTAAATTTCTTTTTCACTGACCCCATGGATCATATTGAGCTTTCTCTTCACTGATACGCAACTGCTTTAAACCACAGGCTAAACATAGCACCTTCCTCAATGGGAGGAAGGGGAGTGTTGGTGTAGAGGTGTCGATGGGGCTAAAAAAGTAATTTGTCCGGTAAAAAAGTTAACACTTTAAAAAATATTTTAAAGCCATCAAGGCTATATTATAGAATAGAATGCTAAATTCACATGACCCTTAAGGTTAAAAATATATGCTTTCAAAAGGACTTCGAATTTCTTTTTGGAGGCAGCTTCTGCTATTCTTCAGACTATAGATACTATTATTGTTTTCACCCATGAGGTGCTCTTGAAAAGACCTAGCTTGAGAAGCCTGTGCTGGTAATTAATTGCGGCAGCACAATCAGATTTTTATTTTTAATAGATTTCTCTGGCAGAAGTGTGGAGAATGATTTGGGACAGTGTGGGGTCATGAAAGAGGCCTGTTAAATGTCCTCCTGAATTAAAGTAGCATCTTGAGTTTGGAGAAGATGGGTAAGAAAAGGTGAGCTTTAAGGAGGTGGAAAGTAAAAGATTTACTAATCAAGTAGAAGGAAGTTGAGGAAGAGAGGAAGAGAAAAAGTCTAAAATGATGCTGCCCCCTAACATACACATAGACACATTTCCTTTTCCCCCGTTCTTGTCTATTTTTTTATAACATTTATTGTCATCTAACATAATACACATTTTATTTGTTGTCTGTGTAGATTCGATAGAATGTAAATTCCACGAAGTTAGGAATTTTCATATTTTTAACAATATATTTTTGTATATCCTGCTCCTAGATATTCAGAGAATGTTTTATTGAAAGAATGAATGAATGATGCCTCTAGTTCCATGAAGCCTGTTGGAAGGGGACAAGGTTTGGGAGAAATAACAACAAGATTTTCTTTGATTCCTATGAGCCATCCAATTTGTAATGTCAACTAGACAGTTGTATAAGATAGTGATGAATCAAAAGGGAAGACTGAAATGGATAAACTGGCAGCAAAAAGATGAGCTTATCTATACATAAAGTAACAAAAGAAGCAAATCAAGAATAGCTGGGCACCCCAAGAGCCAGAAAAGTCACTTAAAAAATATGTTCAATTTTATCTTTCTAATTCTGACCTAACACAGAGATTGCTCAGTTTAACATGGGTAGGAGGCCCTATTTTCCCACCATACCGAAAATGATCATTCTTTATTCATTTTTTCCAAACCATCTTTCTACAAGGATTCACTTTAATTGAACTAAATAAGACAAGCATTATTCTTCAATTTTTGTTAATAAGTCAAACATTTATCTTCATTTCTTTTTTTCTAATTAGTTGAACCATATCACATTGCCGATAATTTACTATTTTTTTCCTAACCTACAAAAATGATAACTTCATATGTCCAACCTAACAAAATAGGACACACATCATCCTATCAATCTTTTTACTTGAAAGAGAAACTAAGGGAGAATCATAAGACTCTATTAATTACACAGCCTTGTGGAGAAATAAGAAATTCTTCTAATAATTCTGCCATTCTATGCCAAGTAACCTTAGGTCATTTTATTCCTTGAAGTCCCTGAAATCATTCTATTCTTGGACACCCTTGGAGTTTTTCTCAGTCTGGTACAGTATCACTCATAGTGTCTATCTATATATCTGGTATATTTTTGGAGGCCTTGGCAGGTCCCCTCTGCCTCTAAACCTTCGCCTACCCACTCAGTAGCAAGTAAAATTGCCTCAACAAAAGTCAAAAGCTTTTTTTTTTTAAACATACACATTTACCCTTATTTATCACTGTCATTTAAAGCCTGATTTTATAAAACACTAAAAGACATTTTTAAGAGTTCTGTATCACCAGAATTTAAACAGTAGAAATATCGTTAGCTTTGTATGTGTAAGTTATGTAAATTAAAATCAAATAATTGGATGGATTTTTTCTCAATATGGAAACTATACAAATGAAATAAATGGCAAAGGATCTAATAGCAATATTTTGTTATTTATAGATTACCAGTTACTTTAGGATCTAAACAAAGATTCTGAATATTCAGACTTCTTTTGCTGTGTTTCACATTTAAATATCTCCCTACCTATATTCTGAGTCAAGCTACTTGACCAAAAGGTCTGATTTAGGAAGGCATTTAGCTTTATAGCAAAAATTTTTCCAATCTGTATTTACCACCTTCAAAGGAATTGACATTATAGCGCAGATGTAATGTGCTGGTTTCCTTTTGAACAGTGTGCAAAAAAATATGTCCACCCTGTGGAAAGTCAAACAGGTACCAAAAAATGGGACAATTATGCATAGCCCAGGGAAGTATGTTGTTTCCCCATCTAAAAATTAACCAATGAAATAAGATACATGAACTATAGTTGACTTGGCTTCAGGAAAAACACATCTGAGAATTACATCATTTGTTCTCATCTCATCTTCAGTTATTGACAGGGATTTTGTAGGCTGCCAAGCTATTTACTTTGTGAACTGTAGTAGTGAAGGAACGAAGATGGACTTGCTCAGAATTGGTAATGAACTGTTCCCATTTCTCAGGTACAACCAATCCTTGTCTGTATATATCAGCAGATTAAATGAACAGGACACTTTCAGCATTGGCAGGAACGTGACTGTAGCTGTGATCTGTCTGATCACTGAGCGGATTTCATCTTGGATAGATAGCCTGAGACTTGTCTGGGTGTGCTGTCATCTTTGACAGTCTTGTCATACTCAATATCAAATTGCCATCTTTCAAGGACCTTGCCGCTTTCAATATTTGAGATGACTACCACCAGTTTCTGAAATGAACACTTGTATAACCGATCTTTCACTTGTTCCACGTTATTTATGTATTTCGAGCTCAGGATCAGTAGTTACAAAGAAGGTGAGTCCATATTTCTGCATTCGAGTAAAGGTTTCCGATAGCTATATGCCACACTGATATAAAATGCTGTTGATGCCAAGTGAGAACTCGGCCACGATTTTGGCGCTCCCGCGCAGCGTGAGGCCTTGCTCCCAGAGAGCTGCAGCACCGTGGCCAGGCCTACAGACGCGACGCGCACTCACTCGCTGCGCTCCCCTAGAGCTGGAATCTTTGGTGCTTCTGAAGGGGCACAAATGCCAAAGGGTAGACAAATGCTATTACAGTTGGGTCAGTTCTGATGGCGAGGGGCACGTTTAGGGATTCACCAATACAAGTTTGATTGGTAAATCATGTTCCTACAAAACTCTTTCAAGGATTCAAAGAATGTTTGGGAAATGAATTTTCTGTGGAATCCTGTAACTCATGAAGTTATGAGCTTCTTTTGAGGCTTTATATTGTACGTGAGTGTGCTGTGAAAGCTAAAAACATACAAAGTAGGCATTAATCATGATGAAATCAGCAACAGGAATTTTTGATTTCCCCCTTTTTTAATGTCCCTAGTCACTTTACGAAAAGCTAAATTAAAAAAAAATTACACATTGCAGGATAACTCTTCATACTGCTACTCTAAGTGTATGTTCCTCCATCAAGGAGAAGTTAAAAAGTATCAGAGTTCCAAATTAAGAAATAGTAAAGTTATCTTTTAATTGAAGAATGTGACAGAAACACTCAAATCAATTTTTCTTAAACAGTAACTTTATTTGGAGCAGAATTTTTTTTTAATGTAAAGTTAATGTTTTTAAATACATTAGGACAAACTATTTAAAGAGCAACATTTTATTTCAGAAGGGGCTTGCAATAAGTGGTTTTCTGTCCTATCTTCTCATCATTATGAATATTTGCTTTATAAATAATTATATTCTTACTTACTCCCTTGTAATCAAATCAGGTGACAAATTGCTACCAGTGATGAGCTATCTGAGATCAGAAGACTATTCAGGTCATTTTAAATTCACATTAGCACAGTGTCTAAAAGAAATTGATAATACAGATTAATGTGATATTTGCCTCCGGTTTGTCTTCTCAATGGTTTCCATGAGACGGTCCTTACAATAAATTATATAAAATACAGTACTTTGGTTGGAAATTATAAAAATAATTCTAAAAATTAACCACATGTATTAAACAAGTTGCTACAGTATGCTTTAAATGATATATAATAATTAGTATGTCAAACATTTTCTTATAAGCATATTGCTTTTGGCCATACACTGAGCTAAAACATACAGTCTTTCTTTTTCTCTCCTACCTAAATGGCACAAAACAATGGCTTGATGGAAGGGAAATTGCTACTTTATGAGAAAACACGGTGCCCATGAACTCCAACACTACTGGTATTTGTACTTAAAAATGAAACAATTCTTGACAAAAACAAGAATTGTTTTGTTTTACATGTGTTGCCTTGATTGTATTCAATTTTGGATAACCCCAGAAGATGATTTAGTGTTGATTTATTAGATGTATTTAGTCCTTTGGGCAAGAGATGTGTCTAAAAAATTGTTTGAAAATCAATTTGCTTCCTATTTAAATCCTATCATACATGAGCTGGGTGAGGGCTTAGTAATTCATGAGATTTTTCTGTAAAACGAATGATCACACCAAGAGTAGTTTTTGTGCCTGTGCAGTTTTCCTGCACTTTACATGTGTGCCCCTTGGCTCAACTGAAGTTTTGTGCACGAATGAGAGCCATCCCTGTACCATTTCCTGGTATCCCAGAAAGCTTTCTGACTGGAAATGAGGTATAGTCATGGAGGTACAATTAAACTTGTCATTCATCTTGGTGTCTTGCATTACATTTTATAATTCTTTAGTAATGAAAAAATACATGCAACTGGCAGCATTTCATATTCACTTAACAAAAAATGGTCACTATTCCCTTCTATAGTAAACAGCTTGTATACACAATTTGTCCTTTACCCATTTCAGGGAGAAAAAAAGAGTACTTTAGGATTTTGCTAGTTCTTTAGAATTTACATTGTTTTTTTTCAGTCTTCTAGGTTTCTCAACTGCACATAAGGCTTCTTGATTTTCATATGCATAAATGTGTTTAGCTTCCCAAGGGAAGTTGTTTGCTGATAAACAAAGGAAAGAGTAAAAGGAAAGAAAGTGAAATACTTTCTGAATTTGGGCCTTATAAAAGTATCAGAAAAACCACTTTATAATGTATAATAACCAAGTAACTAGGTTTTTCAATTTAAAAAAAAATGTAATGACCTTAACATAAGCTAGAGTGCCTAGAATATGGTATTCACAATCCATTTGCTTCTCTAAAGAGTATTTACAATTTAAACCCAGCTTTCCAGCAAGCTGGGTAAGGTTACAGATTAATTTATTTTGTAGACATAATACAGAAAGGGAAAATAAATATTAACCTCAGTAAAGGACTCATCTCTGAAAACACATTTTCTGTTGCTTTAGATAATGAGCTGAGAATATAATACAGAAATGAATTCAGTTTCAAGTTGTGCTTACACATACATATTTATTTTCTGAAGCTCTGCCGCCAGTTTGTTAACAGGAAAATATTACCTATCAAATCCACATCCATTATGTGCTTTTCTCCTGCCCCTAGGGATCATAGTGCTTGCTCAAGTAAATCTTTGAGCCAGATACTCCAAAGCAGACATTGCTCCCAATTTTAGGTCACACCTCTTTGGGAGCTATGGCAATTGGTTCAAGCTACCATGTATTAATATATTGAAGTAATAATTTACCAATTTAATAGGTTGAACCATATCAAAGTGTCAATATTTATTTTAACCTACAAAATTGACAATTTCGTGTGGTTCAACATGCTATATCCTGGAACCAAATGAGAACAGCTTGAGCCCTGGGAGAATGAGTCAATACACTATTGAGATTATACCGAGTTCTCTGGCGGTGACCTTTCCTCTTGCCTTTCAGGTAACCATGACCAGAGAGGCAAATGCGCCCTAAGGAGGTGGATGAGAGTGGACCTTTTGTCTTTTGCTGTCTCCAAACTAGCTTTGTCATTTTCAAAATTGCTGTAAACATTCCTCTCAATGGAACAGCCGTGGCCAACAAATAGAGTTCTCACTGTTGAAAGAAACTACGCAAGGGTTCAGAGTTGAAATGTGGCACGCTATGACACTAATATCATGGTAACTGTGACTTCCTAGATTAGTGGAACCTCTGCCATAAATCTTTTCTGCTCCCCAAATTGCCCTGAGATTTTGGCTAGGACAGAAGGTTATTCATTGTCTGTCACTAGCCAGGCCTGGAGAACTGAACTGAATGAAAAATTCTATCAATTATAATAAAAAAAATCTTCTGCTGCTTTGAAATTTAGTTTTTTGGTCATGCATTTTGGCAGGGATAGCAATTTAGTTGACTGTATTAACCTTTAAGTTGAGAATCTTGTGGCTTGAAATCTTCCCTTTTATGGGAAATGAGACAATTTGATTTCAAAAATGAAAGAAATAGAATGTAATGGCATAGAGCAAGATAAAACCTAGTTTCATTTGTGTATCTCAAATCATGATAAAGTGTATGGTAAAAATTTCAAAAAATATTTGGAGTTCTTTCATCTGGGGAATAAAAACAAAACAAAGTGCATTACATAAATACTTTAGAACAGCAAAACGGCATCAAAATATCGAATTAATAATAACATGACATTGAAAAAAACAGATCATTTTTCTAGTGTTGGTGTCAGTCAGGAAAGTCAGAGGTACCTAATGTGCCACATTTAAAATTTAATTACGTCACAAATATCTGCACATATTGAGTAAATAACCCTTTATCACATAGTCTTAAATTGCACCCCTGTTGCAATACTGCATCAATATTATTACTGTTTTAAAAATCTGTATAAAATATTATCTGGAACCCCAAAAGAAAATCAAGTAATCTTTAAAAAGTTTGTTACAAAGTTGACTGTATAAAATGCTAAAACATAATCCATATATACAAAATGCTGCTATTTAAGAAAATAATGGGACCCAGTTTTAGAATAAAATAATTTTGTACAAAAAAAGGGTATTGCATTCAAATCAATATTTAAAAAAAAAAACTTTAAAAAAGAATATTGAAATGTCTTAGTTCAGAAGAATAACTACAAAGTGTTTGTTTGCTTTTACACCATCCGAAAGTTTTCTGCAGGTAGAGTGCCAGTTGGCTGAGGGACAGTGTCCTGCTTTCCCCTGTAAAGGGCTTTATGACAATCATCGCCGAGACGCGTACTTGGAAGCCCAGTCTGTCCGGCCATGCACTGGCTGGGCGGCTGGTGGCCGTGGGATCAACCCAGGAGTGCTTCTAGGCTGGGTATGGAAAAAAGGTCGCCCAGGATGAGGTCTCACAGCCTTCAGGGAAGAATAACCTGCAATGAAAGAAAGGTTGGCTTGATTGATAGGAGACCCATGCAAACAAAGTACTGATAAGTGCAAAGTGCCAAAAAATATCAGAAAATGAGAGTTCAAGAGGAACATTTTCTCAGACCAAAAATACTGGTGTCATTCCTGACTCCTCTCTTTTCCTCATATCCCACTTGTAATTTGTCAGCAAATCCTACTGGCTCTACCTTCCGATTACACCCAGAATCTGACCCAACTCAACTATTACCACCCTGGCCCAGGCCAACACCATTCCCTGCCTGGATGATTGCAACAGCCTCCCAATTGGTTTCCCTGCTTGCAGCCTTGCTCTCCCCTCTCAGTCTAGGGACAACCTGCGCTTGAGTGAACCTGGAAGATGAAAGTCACATCACCTCACTCCTCCGCTCAAAACCCTCCAGTGGTTCCCATGTCGCTCAGAGTCAATGACAACATGCTTTGTACCGTCGGGCCTCTTACCACCTCTCTGATCTCCTCTTCCTACTCCCCTCCTCTCATTCATACCACTCTTGCACTCTGCCTCGTTATTTGTTGAATATACTAGGCTTGTCCTGTCTCAAAGCCCACGCACTTCAGAATCCCATGTCCGAACAGTCCCACCCACATTGTGTGGCTTACTCACCTTCAGAGCTTTACTCAGCGTCTCCTTTGCTACCCTATCTAAAACTGCAATCCATACCCTGCACTCCAACCCCCACCTTCTCTCTTTCCTGCCAGCTTTATTTTTCTCCTTAGCACTTATAAACATCTTATTCGGTTGACTTATTGTCTGCAGAGTGTAAGTTCCACAAAGACAGGGAGTTTTGTCTGTCTCCTTCCCTGGTAGATCCCAGGCTTATGACATGCCTATTCACGCCTACAGAGCAGGTGTTCAATGACTATTTGTTGAATCAAGTCATGAATAATCTGAAATAGAACGTACCTGGGGAGGGGTCTGGAATAGGTGCCAAGTGTACCCTCTGCATAGCAGAACCAACTTCCTTTTTCAGAAAGGAAGGGATATAGTTTCCAGTCAGTCCACTAGAACTCGTTGAGCCGGAACCAACTATTCACCAAAGCAAAAGCTCATTAGTACAAAATCATGTGCACATGACACCAACAGCATTAAAGGACAGTGGTGCAGAACAATAAAGAATTAGGTTTTTATTTTTTGGGGGGAAAGAATTATGATAAAAGCAGTGAATTCAGAGCACAGCATTCCACCACACCACACTATCGGAAAGATTGAGTGGGATGGGGGGAGTGTGTATCAAGGACAGTGCTGCTCCTGTAGACTGCACCCCAGTGGAAGATGCTTGGTTTGTTTAAGAAAAAGGAAGCTTGTCTCCAGAATAATGATAAGAACCATTACTAGGCTATAGAAAATCTTGCCCATGACCTCGAATACACAGAGGCTGGAAGTTACTCCAAAAGGGGGGTGATGGGAGTAGAGTGGAAGGCAATACTGACGCTTAAAATATACCAAGGCACACACTAAAAATAAAACAGCTCACATTTACTGAATGTTCAGTATGTACCAGCAACTAAGCTAAGTGCTTTATATAAATAAAACTCATTTTTAATCCTTAAAAAAAAGGGAAAGCTTGAAATTTTATTTTTTTTTAGTATAATTGATTCGGCCTGTTCTGAAATACGCTTTTTCCACTTGATAATATAGAATAGTTACCTTCCATGTCAGTATATGCAAATTCTAGAATATGACTAAAATAAAATTCATTTAACTATTCTCTTATTGATCAACACAGAGGTTATCCTAATTATTTACCTATTACAAGTAATTTTCCACTAAATATTCTTGTCCATAATCAGAAAAATTAATCATTATCAAAATGTATTAAAATCATTCACTTTTTATGTCATTTCCATCTTGAGAGCGCTTTAAGGGCCGAAATTGTATGCTACTCATCTTAGTATTGTAGGAGGTTAATGGAATGCCTTACATATAGCAAGTAATCAATATATATTGGAAGGGTGAATGACTGTCTATATAAGCCTTATGATTAAGGCTTAAAACTACACAGGGAATGATGAAGAATGGTACATTGGCTATTATGCAAATGCAAGTTAAAGCCACTAAGAAAGGAGTTATGGAGTGGTAGGACTGCTCTATGTCTTCACAACACAGAGCCTTGTCAGCAATCGCTTAAGGGTGAGCGGAAACCATGGTCTGGAATGTATGTGTGAGGAGCTGTGTTGGCCAGCTGGAGCACATTTTGCATTTTGGGTGAATAGATAGATATGGAGAAAAAGGAGGAGAGAATTTGAGCAGGTAAAGTGACAAAAGGGAAAAAACATACAGTCAACGAACACAAGAAAAGATGCTCAACTTCATTAGTAAATGAGACATGCAAGTTTAAGCCACAATAAGATACCATTTCACACCCACCACATTAGCACCCATCACATTTTACAATCTTGACAGTACCAAGTGGCATCAAGGATGCAGCACAACTCCCCTGCTCTGCTGGAGAGCAATTTGGCAATATCTGTGAAGTTGAAGATGAGCAGACCCTTTAATCTAACATGTTTACCTCAGACCCAGAGAAACCCTCACATGGGTGCACAGCAATGTCCATTTCAGCACACTGTCTAACAGCAAAAATTATAAACAACTTATATGTTCGTCAAGAATAGAAGGTATAAATAAATTACGGTCTAGTAGAAGTAATACATTATACTATTACATAGATATATATTATATATGTTATAAGGTATATAATGTGATATATATTTTATATAATTGCTATATATGTAACTGAATTATTAAAATGAGGGGAGAGCCAAGATTATATACATATTTTAAAACATGCAAAACCATACTATGTATCTCACACATATTTTTTAAAAAGCATGAAAATAATAAACACCCAAATCAAATGGGGGTGCATGGA